GCTAGGATTACAGGCATGAGCCACCGCGCCCGGCCTGTTTCATGTATGTCTTTTTTCCCGTTTTACGTTATCATTTTAATTACAAAAGTAATTCATACTTGTAACAAAATCAACTGACAAAAGAAATACATAAAATTATGAAAGGGAAAGCATTCTATAGCTATTGACATTCCCCTAGAGTGGCATTAGGTGGGTATCCATTTACCATTTTGTGAGTATCCATCCAGATGAATTTTTAAAAATTTATGTATGAACACATACACTATACACACCCACAAATAAGACAACCTTTTTAAATGGAAAGGAGATTGTGCTATACATTAACACTCTACAGCTTTTTTTTTTTTTTAGCACTTAATTGTGGTAGACACATTTTTGTGTCACTGCAAATGTCATTACTTTATCTCTTTAATGACTATGTCAATTTTATTTGGTTCTTTAACAAATACTTACATAGTTCTAACTATGTCCCTGCCACTGTTAGAAATGCTTTATAAAAATTAATTCACTTAGTTTTCATGACTCTGAGGTAGCTACTATTAGTGTTCCCATTTTACAGATAGGAAAACTGAGATCCAGAGAGGACATGGTACTACTAGGAAGTGGTAGAGGTGGGATTCCAATCTAGGCAGTCTGACTTTTATGCTTCTTTCTGTTTATCTTGATGGATATAGGTTATTTCTTTTTTTGCTATTACAAATGCTATAGTGAATATCTTTGTTACATGTATATAACTATTTCTGTAAGAAAGATTCCTTAAAAGTGGGACTGTAGGGTAGAAAGAATGCTTTCATTTTCTTTTGCAAGATAAAATATATTCTATTCAAAGCAAACCAAGATAAAATATTCTTTTGTAATTCTTGCTCTTGTGTGATATAAATTTAAATTGTTTTTTATTAAAACTAGGTATGAAGATGTTATAGCTCTTATACAACCATAAATTTAAATGCAAACATAAGCATAGACCAATAAGATCTTTTAAATTAACAATGTTAATTTAATTAATCCTTCTTTCTGGGGGACATTTTTGCAGACTTTCCCAAAAACAGATTTGTTACTTGACAATGAATCTCAGGGAAGTGGAGTTTTCCTCCCTGAGCTGGATGAACCCGAGTACTGTAATGCTCAGAACACGGCGCTGTGGGAGTTGCATGCACTGCGGGTAAGAGGAGTCCTGGGTTTGTTTGGTATGTGAGTGATTTTTTTTTTCAGTTTTTCCTTTAATAGTTATTATTGCCAGAGTACTTAATTATGTTACATGTTTTGTTCTGGGGCTCCCTTTTTTAGAATTTCTATTTTAATATGTTATATTTTATTTCGCTTTTACTATTCTTAAGCTATTGAGGTACATTTTCTAAGGAAGCAGAAAATGACATTTTGTGGAAGACTCATTGAAATCTTTCCCTAACACTATTCAGAATAGAAGAGGATCAGGTACATTTGTATTGAGTCCTATCCAAGGATACTTCAATAGGCCCAGTTTGAAGATGGTTTCACCTATATAGTGATCCTACATTATGGACAGCAGTAGGTGAGAAGTGTAGAATGCAAGTGTCAGGTAACCTGTTGTAAACTAACTTTTTTCACCCTGAAATAGAAATTGCTTTTCTTTTTATACCGTAAAAGCAAGATTAAGCTATGTCACTAATAACGTGGTCATCAAACAGATTTGTGTTTCAATGCCATGAACAAAGATAATATTCTTTCTGTAGGTATGTGTTTCTAATGAATTACACATACTGTACATATACATATTTTTTCAAATGGTTTAATTTTGATAAAATCTTTGTTGTAGCTAGTGCTTTGTGAAGTACTGATCTGTTTAAAATATGGTTGACTTGTTTCTTCTTCAGAGACATTATCATCCTGTAGTGCAGAGATTTGCATCTCACCTGATCGCTGGAGCACCTTCTGAAGGCTCTGAGGCACTCAAACCGGAGTTGAGCCGAAGGTAGTATTTAGTATTGCCTTATTCTAAAACTACAGAATTCGACTGATAGCCATTTACTATGAGAGTCTGTTTTATAAAGTAATATGTTGCAAACTGTAAAGTGCCAGTTGGGTATCTGGATTTGGTCTCACTTCATATTCCTGAATTGTTTTAAAGAGAAAACATGCTGGCTGTGATTTTTATTAGTTTTGGTAATCACCTAAAACATTTCTTTAGATCATGAAAAGTTTGATACATATAAAAAAGTAGAAAGAATAGTATAGTGAATCCCCAAATGCCCACCATTACCCACATTCAACAATTAATAAGATATCGTCATATTTGCTTTATGTGAAGACAAACCACAAGACAACCAAAGTGAGCTTCCTTGCTTCCTCTTTTTCTTTTCTTTGTGTTTTTTTTTTTGAATGACCCTGTTAAGGGCAAGAAAGGGAGAAAATGAGGAGACAGAAGAAAAGAGGTGCTTTGGAACACTGCCACCCAGAGGGGCAGCAGGTTCTCCCTTGCAGGAGTACCTCCTGACCTACAAGAAGCTTGGATGGGTACTTCCAGCAGAGACAGTGTCTCACCCTGCTGCCCAGGCTGCAGTGCAGTGGTGTGATCATAGCTCACTATAGCCTTGAACTTACAGGCTCAGGGCCTCCTGCCTCAGCTCTTGAGTAGCTGAGACAATAGGTAGGTGTCAACATGCCTAGCTAACTGAACTTTTTATTTTGAAAATTTTCACAAGTACAGAAAAGTTAAAAAAACAGTAATTACCTTTTTTCACATAAAGTCAGTTAGGAAATACTTCAATTATACAGAAAAGAAGAGAAAATGGTATAAAAGATACCATGGTGTCTTAGTCTGTTTATGCTGCCATAAAAAATGCCAGAGACTGGGTAATTTATAAAGAATAGAAATTTACTTTCTCACAGTTCTGGAGGCTGGAAAGTCCAAAATCAAGGTACCAGTAGGTTTAGTTGACTGGTGGGGACTGCTGTCTGCTTCCAGTATGGCACCTTGTTGCTGCATCTTACAGAGGGCAGAAACATGGTCCTCACAGGGCAGAAACATGGTCCTCACGTGGCAGAAGGGACAGGCGGAACAGTGCCAAAGGCCTTAATCCCACTCAGGAGAGGGAGAAGCCCTCATGACCTCATCACCTCTTAAAGTCCTCACCTCTTAATACCATCACATGGGCCTGTTGAGTTTCAACACACAAGTTTGGGAGGGGACACGTTCAGATCACCACCTTACAGTGTACTCACCACTCAGAATTAATGTTTTGCTGTAGATTTTTCCCTTTGCAAGTCCACTGGTTTCTTTAATTCAGAGATCACAGATAAGTGACCTGTGGGTCAGGCTAATTTTCTGGCCACTTGAGAGTTTGAACAAAAATTGAATTAGTTGCTGTCTTTTAAATATTGGAAGAATATTGGAAGAATTCACCTAAAATTTATTTCCAGCTTCTCTTGAAATGCTGGGAGATTTGGTAACAGTGGCCTGTATTTTCACAGGCAGTAAGTCAGCTGCGGCCCCTCTACGTGAGGCATGAATGTTACAGCGTTCCATAAACCCTTTCCTTCTGGACAGGATAGAAATAACTTTTGGTGTTATTAAATAATAAAATGGCCACTTACCTTTTCCTTCCCTCTGACTTCCCACCTATTCCCCATTCTTACCCCGTCCTTGTTTTTGAAAAGGGGAAAAAATTTTTTTTTTTTTTTTTTTTTTTTTTTTTTTTTTTTTTGAGACAGAGTCTCAACTGTGTTGCCCGGGCTAGAGTGCCATGGCGTCATCCTAGCTCACAGCAACCTCAAACTCCTGGGCTCAAGCGATCCTCCTGCCTCAGCCTCCCGAGTAGCTGGGACTACAGGGATGCGCCACCATGCCCGGCTAATTTTTTTCCCATATATTTTTAGTTGTCCGATTAATTTCTTTCTATTTTTAGTAGAGACGGGGTCTCGCTCTTGCTCAGGCTGGTTTCGAACTCCTGAGCTCAAACAATCCACCCGCCTCGCCCTCCCAGAGAGCTAGGATTACAGGTGTGAGCCACCACGCCCGGCCCAAGTCACTTTTTTATTTAATGATCAATTTCCAGCATGTTTCCCTTAGCCGTCTTAAACATTTACCTCTTTTATGCCAGGTGTTTCCTTTTCTGGAGAAAGATGAGGAATGGGTTTATCCCAATGGCTTGAGAAAGGAGACCTTCTGAAGTGACCTTCAGAAGAATGGAGCTTGGGATGTGAGCGTTTCTAGGCCCTTGCCCATCTCCTCAGGAGAATGTGAATTAACCCCAAATCATTAAGGATTCATTTACTTGCCACAGATATAGATGTGTGGTCTGTTCTGAATGGCCTCTCCTTGTTTTTCATCCAGGCCAACAGCTAAAGGGTTGAGCTCTGTTTGAAGTCCATTAAGGGTAACTCCATGCTTCACTCCTTTGGCTGCCATGACTAAGTTAGACTTGGTTGTATATAATTCACATAACTGTGGTTGAGGATTGGATCACACTGAATTGGAGGTCTTCGGCTTACCTTTCTCTCTGTGCACCTTGTCTGTGTTTCTAAATGTATACCAGACCTCTCTGAGGTGGATTTTGTTGGATAATGTTGACATTACATAGGAATTTAGGATATCTTTTAAGTGAGTGTAAGTGAGTGGGTTGCTTGGTTTCAAATGCAGGACTATGTTATGCCTTAATATATGAATTTAGAATAATTAGTCATTCTCTGGGTATAATCTAATTGTTTTGGGGGGTATACAGAGTTGGTGGTATCTTTACATTTTTTACATTTGTGATTATAGATCTGCTGCTGAACTTTTTGAGGCCTATAGCATGGCAGCAATGACGTTCAATCCTCCTGTTGAATCTTCAAACTCCAAAATGAAGGTATGCAATAGTTTTCATTTTTTTAAAAGATGAAATAAAAACTAAATTAGTATGTCTCAGTAACTCTAACTCCAGCTTTTGCTTTATTGTTTTATAGGTAGATTTTTTTTCATGTTTAGGAGTAGATGGTAGGATGGATGCATGGGGTTGGAATCTTCAGAGATGATTATGAGACTGTTCATTCAATATAGGATATGTTCAAGATCTGACCAAGCATCTGTCATTATTATGTTTCATGTGTTGGTGTCAGCTATTGTCATTTTCAACTTTGCTCACAGCTTGGTTTTTGCTTATGGCATATGTAACTTTTAACTTGTACTTTAATATTTTTCCAGAGTAAAGTGTTACAAGGGGATTCATTTTTGGATGAAGATTTAAATCAACTAATCAACAGACATTGCAATGAGGCTGTTACTCAGTCACCCCTGGATTTTACCAAATATTTGGAAACATCACTACAGTAGAAGAATGAAGAGTCAGTGGACTTTCTTGTATATATGTATGTGTGCAGATTCACATAAAGATGAGTTGTTAACTTAAGACCTTTTCTTTTTATACAAGGAAAACTTCTTAAGAATGATTAGGAAGGGAAGGAAGAATTACCCCTTTATATGGCACAGGGTTCTGCCCCAATTCTGAAAATGTCATTTTGTTAAGGAGATTGAAAGCCATTTTCCCCCCAATATTTGGAAATTTCTTTCATTAAGATGCTGACTTTTTAAAACTTCATGTACATACTAAGTTATAGTTTAAAAAACAAAATCTTTGGACTGAATCTTACTGAAATGTAGTTGCTATATTAAAATTAGGGCATAGAGCACAGAAAAATCAAGACCGTGAAAATACTTTTTACCATTTACCTACTCTTTTAAACTAAATACTCTTTAAAACTAAATAGATAATTATTTTTATTCCAACACTACAGATGGAAATAAGAAACATTCTAAATTTGAGTGAATATATTTTTATGAAGATTTTTGAGAAAAAAAGTAGCTTGAAATTGGACTCAAGTTTATTGGCTCTTGCTGATATGACTCAAGAAGTAAGCTAATTACGCCTTTTTAAAAAGGAATGAGTGTTTACTATGGCTACTTTCAAAGAAAGTTTGAAAGTGATTCTAGTCTATTTGAAGTTCTTTGCATTTTCTCACATGCCCCGGAGGGTAATGGGGGAAGAATTGCTCCAGGGCAGAAGAACCAAGTCCAAGACTTTACCATTCTGTTCTAGGGATAAAGAGTACCAAGCGAGGGGCTCCCCTCTGCCCCCAACAGGTAAAATGTGCTTTTTTTTTATAATTATAAAGCAATATTTTATGTAATAGCTATTCCCATATTCTATGAATGGCCTAAGAAATGCATGTTTCAGTGACCAGGTTATAAATATTCTCTACTGTGAATAGTTGAATAAAACAGCTGTTTTCTCTGCTTCCTATTTTTGTGATGCGGGAATTTTTTAAAAAAAATACACAACAGTCCAGCTAGGTCTCTTATTGCTTCAAAGCCATAGAAGCCAATTATTTTGGCCTGGAGCTTAGAGCTCTTTTTTTCTTTTCTTTTTTTTTTTTTCGTGGCGTCAGCCTAGCTCACAGCAACCTCAAACTCCTGGGCTCAAGCAATCCTTCTGCCTCAGCCTCTCGAGTAGCTGGGACTACAGGCATGCGCCACCATGCCCGGCTAATTTTTTCTATATATTTTTAGTTGTCCGATTAATTTCTTTCTATTTTTAGTAGAGACGGGGTCTCGCTCTTGCTCAGGCTGGTCTCGAACTCCTGAGCTCAAACAATCTACCCGCCTCGGCCTCCCAGAGCGCTAGGATTACAGGCGTGAGCCACCGCGCCTGGCCATCTTTTTTTCTGATGAAGGAAATGAAAATAGAAAATTCCTTTACCATTCCAGCAGAGTGAGGGGATATCTGCTTGACAGTACATGTCAGTCTTTTAGCATATTCTTACATGAGATTTTTAAAAGTGTTTCTGAGGTCAACATTTTTCGGCTCTATTGTTTAATGGGAAAGGTATAATTCAGCATTTAATATTTGCTTTTAACTCACCTTTAAGATATAAAACAAAATCTAGGAATGTTATTAATATTTATTTGTGTGGATAACCAAAGGGTCTGTCCCCATCAGAGCACAAGTGACCAATACATGTCACAAATCGTTTATTTTCCAAACATACAAATACATTTGTACCTCAGTTTGGCAGCAAAGACTGTAGTTAAGGTGAAAAATCAGTTTAAAAATAGAAATCGATCAGCTATTCCATGCCCGTATTATGCTTTAACTTTCTTGTTAAAATAGAGAATCGCAGTGGGACCATGAAATTACTCATCTAGTATCTGAATATCCTGTGTGAATTTGAGGATGAAATGTATTTGTGCATTAATTTATATAACCTTATATTGATGAATTTCATTTTCAGAACTAAATGTTGTAGTCATTAGTCATCACACAGAAACATACACATACGAGGCTATACTAAGCTACAGCTTTAATTTTTTTTTTTTAGCTAGACAAATATTGAGCACCTACTACTACGTACTTAGCACTATGCTAGGCACTCAAAAGTGACGTGGGGTAATAATGGGCGTAAGACATAGCCTCAGTCTTCCATGATCTTTCATAAATCATTCATACAACTCTTTTAAAAAAATGCAACATTACCCAGTTCAGTATCAGAATGAGTTGTTTCGAAAGTTTAGAGTCCTATTTCCTCTGAAGTAGGGAAAGTTTCAGAGGACTGCTTGGTGGCAGGCATGGGCTTAGTTTGTTTTGAATCTAAGAGATATATAAGAATAGCTTGGTAATTATGGAGATTCAGTATGTAATTAAAACATAACCTATTTCAGGTATTCCTACGTCAAAATCCTTCGCCATCAGCCAAGAATTGCTTTTAGGAAGTTGATGCATAGAGATGCAGAGAACACATAAATTATTAACAACAGATCATGGAAATGTTAACCAAAGTCTGGATTTTGTGTAAGAGGCAATCTCCCTCTTCTAATGTTTTGGGGGGCTCAGGTATTCACTTTTGCTGGCCTCACTGCTGATTTGAGAGAAGCAACTGAAAAGGTGTCAAACTGCTACCTTGGGAGCACTTTCCCTGTAGGCTGCCTCTTACTCTGGCAGTATAAGATCAAAGATACCAGGCAGTAAAATCCTACTCTTCTTTATTGGCACGGAAGCATAGTTGTGGAACTTTGTGTTTAGGAGTTAATTCAATCTTATTGGACTGGTGAGCAAGCCCTGATTATTTTTCAGAATTAAACAAGGCCTGTGGGTGTCTGGGCGGAGGAGAAGTCTATAGAGATACTGGAAGGGGAGAGAAGAGAGGAAGGGGAAGAAAGTAGTTTAAAAAGGGAAACCAGTATATATCATGGGGGGGGGCCCACTTTCCTTAATGAGCCTCCTGTGTCTCCAGAGCCACTGAGATGGAAGGCCTTTATGAAAGCAAGTTTGATTAAAAACAAGCCACTTCTACTCAGCTTTTGAGTCTAGACTCCAGATTTACTCCCAACAGGAGAATTTGTAAATAACTTTTACTTGGTAAGGATGACATGAAAAGAGGCTTTACTTCAACAGGGTAAATACTGTCTGCCCAGATAATATTGTTACTTCCTACAGATTTATCTCTAGCTATCCCTAATTCTCTCAACACCCTCAAGAATCTTACATTATTTTGCAAAACAACAAATTCCAGATGAACAGGTGACTGAGAGGAAATTAATCTCCATTACTTCCAGCATCACACATCACGTTTGATTCTTACACTAATTCTTTCTTGCCAAATAGATTTTTTTAAAAGCACCACCTCACAGAGGGATGGAATTCATGCTCCTTTTTTTTTGAGATGGACTTGCTCTGTCATCCTAGCTAGAGTGTAGTGGTGTCATCATAGCTCAATGCTGCAACCTCAAACTCCTGGGCTCAAGTGATCCTCCTGCCTCAGCCTCCCAAGTAGCTGGGACTATAGGCCATGTGTCACCATGCCCGGCTAATTTCTCTATTTTTTGTAGAAACGGAGTCTCACTTTTGTTCAGGCTGGTCTCGAACTCCTGACCTCAAGTGATCCTCCTGCCTTGGCCTCCCAGAGTGCTAAGATTACAGGAGTGAGCCACCAGGCCTACCCTAGTAATGCTTCTTAAATTATAATAAACCCAGCTTGCATATTTAAGTTCTTTTCCATATTAACTTTACTGGTAAGAGTTTGCTACCCAGATTTCTTATAGCCTAAAAAGTATGAAATGGTAGTGGGTGGGTATAGCCCTAGTGGCTATTTTGGGTAATTTCTTTCATTTTGTATACTAATACAACTGTATAATTCAGATAAGCTTTAAATTAAAATTTTCAGCAAACATCAGGTTGTGCTGGTCATTTGTAATATAGAAGTAGAGTAGACCCTTTACATTTTTAAGCAATTTGTCCTTCCTAAAATCCCAAAGACACAAACATAATAAATGATGTACTTTTACATCAAAATGTGATTACACAACCAAGTTGGGATGCAACGTAGGCAATAGGCTGGGTTTTCTCATTTGCTAAACAAGCTAGTCTCACATTCAGTCTCAGAGTAATTTTCAGATTTGTGCTGTAGCCAAATCAACTATGTTAAAGGCCATAGGAGTCAGGTGGGGCAGAGTTTAGAAAGCGTCAAAGCCAAAATGATAAACCTAGAGAGACCAGTCTTGCTTTTCATCTCATTACTCTGCATAGTTTTGGCTCTAGCCAGTTAGATCAGTAACTCAGTTTTCAACACATGGTAAACCAAACCATTTGGCCTGTTAGTTTATAGAGGCTTGATAAAGCGATTCCAAAATATTTTTAAAAATGGGGCAGCCTTGGGCATTTGTTATAGACTGATTTAAAAGGAAACCTGTAGTACTATACAAATTGCATCAAACTGGTATAGCTTGAATTCTGTTAACAAGAAAGCGATAGTTCTTCCAGTGTTAAGGCTTTGAGTCAGAACTTTTTTTTTTTTTTTTTTTTTTGAGACAGAGTCTTTTGTTGCCCAGGCTAGAGTGAGTGCTGTGGCATCAGCCTAGCTCACAGCAACCTCAAACTCCTGGGCTCAAGTGATCCTCCTGCCTCAGCCTCCCGAGTAGCTGGGACTACAGGCACGAGCCACCACACCCGGCTAATTTTTTATTTCTATTTTTAGTTGACTTGCTAATTTTTTCTATTTTTAGTAGAGATGGGGTCTCGCTCTTGCTCAGGCTGGTCTCGAACTCCTGAACTCAAGCGATCCTCCCGCCTTGGCCTCCCAGAGTGCTAGGATTACAGGCGTGAGCCACCACGCCCGGCCGACTCGGAACTTTTAATGACATGAAAGCTGTGGTGTATTTTTAACACTTCTGTTTTTAAAATATGCAAAAGACATGGGATTGTTTTATTCATTTTTATAATCAGTAAAAAAAAAAACTTCTCAAAGCAAAGGTTAGGATTCTTAGTATGTTTTATAATTCAAAGAAAAATGTCTTAAAATTTAATGAAACCAATAGAAAGATAAAGTTTGGGTTTTACTTTAGAGGAATACATATTTTACTTTTAAAGTCATAATTTGCTTTATACCAAGAATAAGAAGAATCCTTTACACTTAGTTGATAGTGTTGTACAGCAAGGTTTTAAAAATAATTTATATTAAATGACAAATATGACTTGGATGATTTCATTTGTGATTAGCTCTTCAGTTAATCAGAAATGAAGATGAAGCTATTGTACATGAAAGTCTAGTGCATTTCAGATGTCCAGAGCATATATTTTCCTTTTAGAAGTTTGTCTTCAAATAGAACTACTAATGCCTCTAATCCATAGCACTATCAAGAAAGCTATGTATAATAAATAGGTATCTAAGTACAGTGTTAGTTCAAACCTTGCAAAATAAATAAATTTACCTTAAACACCAACTCAATCTACTTTCGCTTTTAAAAAATGGTTAGGTTTCTTAAGATACCACAACTCAGTAGATATTAAATTATACATCATTCTAAATTCATTTTGTGAAAACCAAAAATGGAATAATCTGTGAATATATAAGCAATAAACTTTTTAAAAAACAAATATTTCTATATGTAATAAGAAATCCTAAAGAGTGCACTATGGTACACAATATAGGAACTAAATCGAATTGCTTTTAATGAATCTTACGGGACATATTCACATTTACAATGCCCAAGTTTCCAATTCTCAGCCATAAAATATATGGCTAAGCTAGCTTTCTTATTGTCAGACCTCTGTGCCTCTTGTTCCCAGTTCTCTAAGTCAGGTTGACAAACTGTGGCCCTTGCGCCAAATCCAGCCTGCTACCTATTTTTGTATGGCCCTTGAACTTAGAATAGTATTTATATTTTTAAATTATTAAATCAAAAGAATATTTGTAATGTGAAAATTATATGAAATTCCAATTTCGGTGTCTATAAATAAAGTTT